CACGGAAGAACTCCAAGTGTATATTTCCGCCTTCTGGCTGAAGATACAATCACAATTTACAAGTGCAGCGAGCGAGGCCCTCGCTGGGTAATATAAAATTTATACACATCTACCAGGGATGGATTGTTTTTTTTTTACCAGGGGTCGTTCTTTTTTTTTTTTTACTAGGGATGGATATTAGTATATGGAGGGAGGGAAGTCACGATACAACAGAAGAAGAGATCAGAGCACACCTACAGAAAAATGAGTGTGTTTTTGTTTTTGTTACTCCCCCGAGAAGCGAATGGGAAAGAAAGGAGATGAGCCAGGAAGGAAAACGAGAAAAACAAAAAAACGAACGCGAGATGAATAAGGGAAGAAAAAAAAAGTAAAAAAAAAAAGGAGAGCATCCGACGCCAAAAAATCTCAATTTGAAAAAAGAGGGCAGCGGAGCGGAGACTATCAGAGGACACCCAAAGAAAGAGGGGGGGGGAAATCAAAAAAAAGTGCAACAGAAGCAAGGAATATACATTAGAACGCGAAATAAAAGGGAGAAAGAGAGAGAGAGAGACAGACTGAGAGACTAAGACAAGGGCCTCGCTGCACTACGCACAGAATGTATAAATTGGCGCGAGCGTTCTTACCAAAAAAAAAAAAAAAAAAAAAAAAAAAAAAAAAACGGCGAGTGCATCTCCTGCTAGAAGGTGGACAGAAGATACAAAAAAAAAAAAAAGATACGCCCGCTAGTTTTTTTCGCACACTTGGGTAGAGGTGAAGCGGGGTCTTTCTTCAAAGATTTTACTCTAGGGTTCAGTTGTTTTGCCCCTCCTCTACCCTCCTCCCCCCCCCCCCAACCCCCCCCCATTTAAAAAAAAAAAAAAAAATCACTATAATCATACCCTGGACGCGGGGTCATTAACCAAAAGACGGTCGGGACCTGGATAACGACCACCAGAGCCAATGGGAAGACAGCAGCAGTTGGACCACGACGAGACACGCGGCCGCCGATGGTGTATAGTCAGACTGGTGAGTCTCTTTCCGTAAATCGCTCCCCCATCTCCACCTCCTCCTGCAGCTCGCACTCCCACACATCGTGTCTTCTTCCTCATCACCTGGATTCCTACGCCTTCCGCATATTTTCCATATTTCAATCCGCTCGCGCTCATACTCCTCTCTCTGTTCAATCTCCTTACAGTTCCCCTTCCACATCTCCATCGCTGCTCATGCCGCCAACTACTTTCTCCCAAGCTACCGCACCCTACCGACAAATAGCTATGGCTACCGCTACCAACCGCAAACCCAGATCCTTGAAGCATCATCACTCTACCCTCCATATCTATTCCAAACTCGCATTCGATTCGATCTAATATACACGACGAGAAGGAAGAAGAAGAAGAAGAAGAAGAGGAAGAAGGAGAAGAAGCAGAAGGAGATGAAGAAGAGGGAGAGGAAGAAGAAGTGAGATGATCGTCTATTGAAAGGGATCTTCTGCCAGGCCGCCATAGCCGGCTTCTCCTTTCGTAGCCGTCATAACCGCCATAGCTGTCGGGCAAAACCTTCCCTCCTCCTCTCCCCTGTGTCTGGAAAAAAGCGATCTGCTCCCTCGACGAACGAGATTCATCTCCCTTACCTCTATTCTCGCAAAACCCAGCGCAGCGCCGCCGTCGCGCTCTGTAGTTTCTATACGCCGACCTCGCGGCTGCTAAACCGATGAATGGCCCATCATCCCTGCCAACATACTTAGTCGAATTCGTTGAATTCCCCTCCACACGTCCTCCTTCCTTTTCTCTCCTAAGGGTGCTTGCTGAAATTGACCTCGGAGAATAGAGGGTACTTGAGCAAATTGACCCCGGAGAATAAAGGGTACTTGCGCAAATTGACCTCGAAGAATAGAGGGTACTTGCGCAAATTGACCTCGGAGAAGAATAGATAACGCCGGCCTTGACTCTTTGGTCAGCATGGACCACGAAATTACAAATTTGCCCTCCATACCTTCGTTGACCGGCCCCTGGTACTGCATCTATCCTCTTCCCATCTTCGATCCCTCGACCTAAGGAATGCTTAGCATCTCGAATCTCGACGTCCGACTTTCCGAGACCAGCTGCTGGGGCGAAGAAACACGTGCACGCCGACATTGCAGCAGTTATGACTACAGCAGGCCGTGGTCGACGAAACCCAAAAACAAAAAAAAGGAAAAAAAAGAAGATCAAACCCGATCCTATCGCACCGTATATAACCGATATCCCAGCTGCGTCATAATTGGCCAAACTTCCGCTGAATCTACCAGACAGGAAAAAAAAAAACTACGAATAATAAAAATAATAAAAAAACAACGTGGTCAGTCGAGGACGACGATCAGCAACAAGAGGCGGAGAAAGAGGAGGAGGAGGAGGAAGAGGAGGAGGGCCAAAAACCTGCAACGTCGCCAAGCAACTACCGAATGTGCGAGGAGGAGGAGGAGGAGGAGGAGGAGGAGGAGCAGCAGAAGGAGGAGAAGGAAGAGGAAGAGGAGCAAGAGGACGAAAGGGAGGAGGAAGGGGTCCGTAAGGAACGTCGTCGAGTATCGCGGAGCATTGAAGTTTCTTCTCGAGCACTTCTTCGATCTCTCCTCTCGTTTGCAGAATTTTCGACAATTCAGACGATTCGACCGTCACGGTGGTCCTTGGAGGACCCAGAGCCGAAAAGAACACGAGTTTGAGAGAGAAGGACAGCAAGCAAACTACTACGACGAGGAGGCGGCGAGGGGAGAAGGGGCCGTCAAGAGGGCAGAATGACAAGAGAGGGGCAGAGTGACAAGACAGGGACAGAAGACATACGTACCTTCCTTTCTTTCTTTCTTTCTTTCTTTCTTTCACTTGATCTAGCGAGAGACACCAGGATCCCGAGCGGGCGCGGTGGAAAACGTTCCCTTCTTTATTCCTTATTCCTCCAGCCGCCTAGCTCGACGGCGTGAATCGGAGTTTTGCCCTCGGCGCCGGAAATCGGCATTTTGCCCTCGGCGCCAATTGGCCCAAAAGATTTCAGGCGCATGTTGTACGGAGAGTTGAGGCGGGAGATGCGCGTACGCGCTTACGAGGGCGGGCGACAAGGGCGACAAGGGCGAAGTGGGCGACGTGGGCGACGTGGGAGGGACCAACAGAAGGAGGAGAAATCGACTCTCGGACTGCGAAAAAATGCACAATGGGCCTCGCGACACTTCTCGCGAAATGTGCAAAACGAGAGTGAATCTTCGGATACAACTTGGAAAGATACGGCGCCATGAATTTTGTCTTTTGTGCATGTCCAGAGTACTGGAGCGAGGCCGAATGTCCCGACAGACGAAGGCGCGCAAGTGAGCGACACGTGGCAGGAATTCCCGCGAAAGCCCCCAACCGGATGCAGTTCGAGGGAAAGCCTTTCTTTTTTTTTTCTTTTTTTTTTTTGGAATGCCTTTCCTACACACCACACACTACACTACCGGTAGAGACCATGGGCCTCGCTGCACTACTCTCGCAATGTGCAAAACGAGAGTGAATCTTCTGCCAGAACATGGAAAGATACACGGCCATGATTTTTGTCTTTTGTGCATTTCAAGAGTAGTGCAGCGACGCCCCATGTACCTGTTTTTTAAATAGTACCTGCGTTCGAATCCCTGGTGAATCAGACGAGAATCCGTAGAATTAGGGCCTCGCCACACCACTCTCCAAATCTGAAAAAGACAAAAATGTGGCAGGTGGATCTGGCCATAGGGCCTGCACCTCCTTACCGCAGGCACTCCCCGGCCATAGGGCCTCTCCACACCACTCTTCAAGCACGAAAACGTTTCAAGGGTTGTCAGAATTTTTTCAAGAGTCCACTTTTTGAGAGTTAGGGCCCTTGGCCACACAGCACTCTCGAAAAGTGAACTCTTGAAAACGGGCGCATATGGGGCCTCGCTGCACTGCTCTAGGCTCTTGAAGTTTCGAGAGTGGGTGGGTCGTCGCAACACTTAGGGCCTCGCTGCACTACTTCTGACATGCACAAAAGACGAAAATCATGGCGATGTATCTTTCCATATTCTAGCGGAAGATTCACTCTCGTTTGCACATTTTGAGACTAGTGCAGCGAGGCCCTTACTCTCTATCGGGAAACTCTCGAAACCCAATCGAGAGTTGTCAGAAGGCGCGTTATAACGTCTCTCGAAACGTCGAGAGTCACCCGCCTACAAAAAATGAATTTGCAAGTGTGCTCGCGAGTTGCCCCCCGACCGGCTCCTTTTTTCGAGAGTGGACCTCCTGTCCCGACGGGCAGACCAGCCTGGCGTTGTCCCATAGCGTAGTGGTACAGCTCTTATGTCCGCCCGAGGTTTCAAGAGTGCATCTAGTGTAACAGGTGCTAGAGTAAGTGCAGCGATGACGGGTATTTCGACAGTCTCGCCTCTCTGACAATGCTAATCGAACTCTCTAAATATTTTGAGAGTCTAGAGTAGTGCGGCGAGGCCCATGTTTTCAGTTCCTCAAGAGTGTTGTGTGGCTTTGCTGCCAAATGAGCCTGGTATACCCCATTATGCTTGTTCGTGGTTCCACTCTTGAGAACTTGAATGGCCTGACGGATCCAACAGTGGTGTTAAGGTAACAGTCTGACACCTCTTGAGAACCAAGTGTCTCTCACGTGCTCTCACAAGGGGCCTCGCCTCACCTATCTCCAAAACAACGATTTGGAAAAAAGTGGCATTTCCACACGAACTCTCGAAAATCGCAATCAGAAAAAAATTTGAGAGCGGTCAAAATACAGTTATCGGGAGTACTCTTGAACTTTGTGGATCGCCCCGTCTGCAAAACACCGGATTTGAGGAGTGCCCCAAGGCTCCTTGGATTTCGGTCCCAAACTGGAGAGTGCGCCTCGATCGACAACCGTCTGTTGCCACCGTTTTGTCGTCTGTGGTTCACGAGCACTATAAAGTGGTGGAGGTTTAGGCTAATTTTATGCAAAAGTGGGTATCCCCTGAGACAAGAGGAAGGAAAATAAACCATGGGAGAGTTCTCGCAAGAGAGCAGTTGACATCAGGAGGACCGAAGAGTAAATTGATATGATATTATTACTTGAGCATGTAGCCACGTCTATCTAGTACCTTTCTCGAGCTTTCCCACAGACTTGCTCATTCTTTTGGGTGGTGGCCGACCAATCACTCGACTGGATTTGGTTAGCTTTATGATACGTGTTAAGCTCTTAGCATTTATTAATTAAGCTCTGTCAAAAATATAAGGTTGGCTATCATTTCATCACATGTAGAGGGAGTTTGGAGGTTCTGTCGTTCCTGTATTTTGCTTAATGGGCAAAAAATAACGTATTATGATAAAAATGTCATATCTTTTAACAAAGTTTCTTATGAACGGGGATTGATCGGTATTTATTGCATTAACTCTTATGATATGTTGCCATTGTTTACTAAAAACAAGGTACAACAGAGGGAGTTATGTGACTACCGTTGATGAATGAGTCGTCGTTAGTCGTACATTCAAGGTTTCTCTTCCGAACGAGCTGTTCATCTGGGATCAACATTTCTAATTTGTTTCTCGACCATTTCGAGACTCATTAACCTCGTCTATCATACCCAAAGCTAGCTCACTAACGATACTAAATCAGTGAGTCAATATATTTACAAGAAGGACCATTAGAGAATAAACTAGGTTTCCAATAGCTCTTGCAATCCGATGAACCTTCATTAAGCTACTCATTATCAGAACGTTAAGAGCATGTGTTCAACTAGATGTAACTATCTCAAAACTCGAAGGGTTTTACAGATGAGCTTCAGTGACATGAGCAAAATCCTAAAAATATTACGGCAATTTCATGTTATTATAATAAAGTCTTTAATTATCAAGACAAATTTTGAAAGGGCCCCTGTCCTAAAAAATTGAACTGCCAGTCAACACACGAGTTTCAAATGAGAACTGCCATGAGTGACATTTTGTGTGACATTTTGAACCAAGATTGACATGTAGTAGCACTTTTCAGTCTATACTGGATGACACTAAGACTTGTCGCACCTTGCGTTATACATGAACTGGGGAGGTAAATTGGCAGTACTTTGTGTTGTACATAGTCAGGTAGGAGCTCTCAATCATTTACTACTTGACTTTTGAGCAAAGTCTTATCTGCTAACAGTGCCTGGTGTGTTATTTGAGTTGAGCTTACCGTCATCCAAACTTTACGCGTTGTTTGCTACTGGTGATACTTTCTGCCATAAGTAGAACAGGCTTAACTACCAGAAGCATGCTCTGTGTTTTTCTCGGGTAGGTATTGCCACACTACTGCATGCCACCTGGGGCGGTGTTTGATTGTCAACAAGACTCAGTTTATTACCCTGTGAAGTTCATCAATAGAGGGACTCCCTATAGTAAATGAACAAGGAGTAACTCTTAGTAAAAACAAAATTGTACCATTGTGGATCAGATATTGACAACAAGTTATGATACATACAAACAGGAGTTGTACATAGCCAAATTCATACATTGGAAAGTGGGTTGAACCGATTGTCAACCATGCACCATGTACTTCTCAAATGAGTATCACTACCGGCAACACTTGGTAACTCCCCACGTCAAGTTACGAGACCTTTAAGCGAACAGTGACTTTCTGACTCATTCAGTAAGCAAACTCTAAGATCATTCTTAACAAAACCTAAAAAAGAAATGTACAACAAAGACACTTTCGTGATGCTTAACACCCTCTATGAAGACAAGTTCGAAAGTTGTGGAAGCAAAATATTCGATGAAATCGAAATTTACAAAAAGAACGTTGAGAGATGTTGCAGTTGGGGAGGTAAAGAACCAACACAAGTTTATAGAGTATATGATTTACATTCATGAATCAGACGAGGAGTTGCATAGCACAATCCCATCCTTAAAGAGCGTGCAAAGGGCAAAAGAAGTAGTCAATGCTCAATAGGTCAAGATAGAGGGACCATCTCTTTAAGTTGTAAGCAATTTTTTTTTGACCATTCACATTCAAATAACGAAAAGTATCAATCTGTGTTTATTCAACAACATCTTCATCATTAGACATCAGTCATTTTCCTTGCATAATTGACTTCAGTCGAGATATGGGCAAGTTCTCTTTCGCAGTTTCAACGATGACTATCTCATGCGGTCACACCAGAGATCAACAATCAAAATTAATTATCACATAACATCTAGCAGTCGACTTTCAAATCAGTACCAATTAATTTGTGTTTCCATCAAGTACACATTCTTAGTGA